GTGGCCTGCAGGCAACGCTTCTTGAAGTCCTTGGCCTTCAGGGTTCCTGTGGGCGGCCAGCGGGGCCCGCGTGAGGACGGCAGCCGCCCCCACCAGCCACCCCCCCGCGCGGGGCCTCGCCAGCACCTGCCCGCTCCCACCTTGCCAGCCGGGGTGTCGCTCTGGGTTCTCCAGGGGCCTGGGGACGGCGGCGAAGGGGATGCCTCTGAAGACGTCCACATAGTTGCCAAAGAGGCTGAGCTTCTTGTTGACGCCTTCCACGAAGCCTCCTTCCGTGTACACGGCGCCCAGCTGGGGGTGAAGGCCGAGGCTCAGGTGGGCTCGGGCCGCTCTCCCTCCCGAGTGGGGGTGGGGGCCACCTGAGCCGCCCCAGGGTGTCCGGAGGCTCCCGGGAGACAGCTTCGGGGAGGGGCCCGTCCACACCCCAGACCGAGGCCCCTGCCGCCTGCCCTCGTTCCCCGAGGGGGTCCCGCCCCCTGGATCCGGGAGGAAGCTGCTTCAACCGGCGTGTTCCCACCCTGGGAAGCCTTCCGAGTAGGCCAGGAGAGGTGGGTTTGGATCCCGGCTCCGGCCACCTGGCTGTGACCATGAGCCTCCGTTTCCCCATCTCTAAGATTAGACAGCAGCACGGCCCCCCTCGTGCCCCCCACCCCAGTGTCCAGCCGGCCTGGAGTCTGTGGCCCCGTGCCGAGTTCTCACTGCTGGGAAAGACCTCTGCACCCCGGGCCATCGGAACCACTGCTGTGTCCCCAGCCCTGGCACTGAGCCTGCCCCCGCGCGGCCAATGCATCCAATCCTCGCTAGGGGGGCTCCTGGGGGCTGGTGTTCATCTCCCCGTTGTCCCAGGAGGACACGGAGACTTTCCTGCTGGAAGTCATCCTGAGGGAAACAGCTGTCCGACCTCAAAGCCGGGCTCTCATCCCCTCCTAGGGCCGCCTCCCCATCCGTCTGGTCCAGTGGCAGGTCTCCGCTTCCTGGCTCTCACCTGCACTAGGTTCCCGGTGGGCGAGGGCGGGGCAGCCCCGCACGCCCAGGCGGGGACCCAGCACCTTGTAAGGTCTAGGCTAACAGGGGACTGGGGAGGCGGGAGCTGCATTCAGAGGCCGGAGTTCCTGCCCGGTGCCGAGGGTGGGGCAAGGGACCCAGAGGCAGGTGCAGGTCTGCTCCCAGCCCTGTCTCTCCATCTCAGGATAAGCAGCCTTGTTTCAGGCCTCCAGGCATTTGTCCTGGCCGGCTTCGGGCTACTGGGGCACCGAGGTGGGCCAGGTCAGTGCCTCGGGACTGGGAAGTCACTTCTCAGAACGGAGATTGGCCTGAGGCTCCCGGGTGAGGGGTGAGGGCCAGGGCCCCTCGCCGTGGTGGCAAGGTGGGAGGGTGGTGCTGGCTGCTGGAGCGCTGAGGGGCAGTCCCAGTCCTTTCTGCCCTCAGACAAGCCCCTGCCCCCCCCCAAAAGACAACAGCATCCCCTCGGGGCAGCACCTGAACCTCCAGGTCCCGAGGCAGCGGGGACAGAAGGGCAGGATAGGGGTGAGAATGACACGGGGGCTGCGTGTCTGTGGGGTTTCGTCCCGAAGCACTTTCCCCGCCTCATTCCTCAGGCTGCAGCAGGGCGGTTACGGAGGGCAGCCCTCCCGCGCCCCCCCCCCCACCCGCCCCCTCAAGGAGATCTCCGGACTTTCCCAACTTCCTCTTGGGAGATGGAGGTTATGTTGGGAACCATACTCCGAATGGGGTTCCAGGTTTCTGCTCAGCCACCGGTGGCTGTGTGACATTGAACAAATAGCTCACCTGCTCTGGGCCTATCTCCCCTTCTATATAAAGGGGACAGCGACCTCTCTGGAGAGGAAGGAGCCAGACGGACGCTGTGGGTCAGGTTCCCAGACTCAGGAAACAAAAATTCAGGGCTCCCAGTTACGTTTAAATTGCACGTAGATGGTTTTTTTTTTTTTTTTTTTTTTTTTTTTTTTTTTTTTTGAGTACAAGTATATCTCAAATATTGTACAGGACATACTCCTACAATAAACTCTCTATGTTTTATATAAGACTCAAATTTGGCACCTCTTCCTGCCCAGGGGTCCCGTCCCCACGCTTTAATAAAAGCCCCTTTTTGTACCAAAAAAAACTCAAATTTAACCTGGCATCCTGGATTTTATCTGGCAGCGTGAGCAAAGCACCAAGTGCCCCGGAAATGCTGTCTTGAGAGTTGAGGTCTCTTTCTCAGGCTGGCTCTTTCTGCCGCGGACTCTGCCCGTCTGCCTTCCCTCCACCGTGCCCTGTGCCCAGCTTCCAGATCTGGCTTAGTGAGGACTGAGGGGCCCCTGCCCCCTCTGCCGGCCTCTCACTTACCTTGGCCGCACTCGCTGCTGCTAGGCAGCAGGCGAGGCCCAAGACAACCAGCTCCAGGCGCCCCATGGTGTGTGCCCGCCTCTGCGTGGCCCTGGTTTGGCCCCTTGCGTATTTATGGGGCTGGAGCCAGCCTCCGAGTTGCCAGCTGCCCGCAGAGGGCCCCTCTCCCTCCTCCTACCTCCGGCCCTCCCTCCAGGCTGGCCACACTCCATGCAGCGTACCTGGGGCTGAGACAGCTGTTGTTTCCAGCCAGCCTCAGGCTGGGCCAAGGTCACACAGTAGGGGACACACACACGCGCGCACACACACACACGCACACGGGTGCAGGGACAGTCTGTCTTTCCCAGGGCTGGCTGCTCCGAATGCCCTGGTGCCCACAGCGCACCTGTGCAGGTCACTGCCTACCTGGGAGCAGACGCAGGTGGTACTGGGTAGACGGCCACAAGGCCTTCGGCTTGGCCGGGGGCCCACTGCCCTGCATTCTGGCTCATTTCTTCACAAGGGTTTGGTTTCACCCTCGGAGAAATGGGCATGCTTGGTCTCCACGGCCTGCCTGCCCCCCAGCCCCAGCTCAACAGGAGTTTGTAAGGGACCGGGCATGGGACTTCTGGGACACAGGTGGGTGTGGCTGACTCTTGTCACCAAAGGCCCACTGGGGGTGGGGACCCGGAGCAACGTAGGTGATCCTGCCCTTGGGGTGGGGGAGAGACCCCACATTCAGCACAAGTCCTGGGACGGGAAGACCAGAGGCTCAGGTGGCCCACGGGAAGCGGGAAGTGGGGCTCCAGCCCAGCCTTGAGGGCTTCCCTAAGGAAAAGGAAACGCTGGGCTTTCTGGCCCCAGAAATGGGCCGGGCAAAGACCCTGGAGCAAAGCCAAACAGAGACAGAGACCAACTGACGGACAAGGGAAGGGACAGATCACAGAGCCGGGGAGGGGGAGAAAACAGAGCAGAGGTAGCCACTACCGTTTCCTGTGACCGTGTAGGACTTCGGTAGTCAGAGAAGGTTACTAAGTGGGAAGGCCACCATGGACAAGGCCTGAAGACTGTGCCTCTGAGTCTGGCCGCCTGCGGAGTCACCGCTCACAGAGGGTGTTCAGGCTCCGCTGCACAACCACCTCCAGCAACGGGGGCCCATTCAGGAGCCAGGGGACAGCCAGAGCCCGTCCAACAGCCCCTCAGACCGGGCCCCAGCAGGCCCTGTGCCGCCCAGGAGCCAGTGCTTCTGACACAGGCCACGGCCCCCCTGACATCATGCCTGCCGCTGTCACCAAGCCTGCCTGTCCACCAGATCCAAACCTTTGGGGACGCAGAGTGGACGACAGGCTGGAGAGGGGTGGGGAGAGGTGGGGGGAGGTGGGCATTTGCAGGTGGGAGGAGTCAGGACACGGGGGAGGGGCTGTGCGGGCCAGGCCGGGACTAGTGTGGCTTCAGCTGGGCAGCATGAGGACACGGGTGCAAAGGGCTCGGGTGCTGCCCCAGGACAAGGAAACGTATTTGTTAACTTGTGCCTTTTGTCCGGCTATCCCGAGAACGTGTTCCACAGGCAATTATTCTGAGGGGGGGGAGGGGGCCCCTCCTGGTCCCCAGAAGCAGGGAGTGGGGCCCTCTGGGGCAGTCCGCCTGGCCAGCTTCTCCTCCAGAAGGCAGGTTCCCAGGACTGGCCACTTTAGGCCAACTGTGAGCCACTGGGGCTCGTGATCTGTCATCCGAGAGGGCTGCCCAGGAGCCTGGTCAGCAGACTGAGGCTTACCGGAGGCACCTGACTTCAGAGTCAAAGTGACTTAGGGACTTGTCACACCAGGTGGCCCGGTCTGCAGGCTGATGGAGGGGGCGACTGGGCGCATCTCTGCAGCACGGTGGCCCGGCCGCCCCACGGCACGGGTGGGAGTGCTCCCCAGGGAGGGCGGCCCCGGCCCCACCAGGAAGGCGCACCCCCTCTGGCTACACAGCAGGGAGCTCAGAGGCAACAGGGTAGATTTCCCCATGAGCCTCTCAAGAACATGCCCATGAGGAGCAGTAAGGGATCGGCTCGAGGCTGCGGGACCGTCTGCGGCCTGACGCGTACATGCTCACCCGACCTCCAGAGGAAACTCCACTGTGGCTCCGACCCCCCCACCCCCCCAACCCACTGAGACACCGAGACTCCTTGGGAAAATGTATTTGATCGGGACGATTCCAGCTGGGCCCCAGGCGGATGGGATCCAAATGCAAGGGCCGTCTTCGCCCGTCTGTGACCGCGGAACAGTTTCCTCACGCCAGGACCGCCATCGGCCATAACCTCCAAGGCACGAGCAGCGTCTTCAGGCCACATCGTCCCCACCGCCAGCTGTTCTCAACCATAGAGAGGTGGTGGCCATCGGCTCAGCCCATCGGACACCGGGCTGGCTCACGGCTGCACAGAGCCAGGTCACAACCTCTGGAGGTGTCCCCAGGCACCCCGGGCCAGAGAGCATCCCGGAGCAGCAGGTGTCTGGGGCAGATGGGCAGGACCAGGGTCAGTGGCACCCAGTGCCGGGGTCCCAGCTTTCCTCTGAGGGGTCTCCTAGGGCCGTTCTGGTTGCTGTGGGCAACACTGGGGAGCCACGGCTTGTCCTGGCACCGTTACCAGTCTCGTCTGATCAAGGAGGCCCAGCCGTGGCTGTAGGTCTACGTCACACGTAGTCCAGAATCTCGGTCTCCATCTCGTTCTCGCTGCCGTCGGACGGCTTGAAGTCCTCCTCCTCCTCCTCCTCGTCCTCGTCTTCCCCAGACTCGTACGTCAGCTGTTCTTTCCCGCCATCAGCCTTGGTCGGGCTGGAGAAGAGAGCTGGGGCCGGGAGACAAGGCCGTGTGTGTCCCAGCACAGGCTTCCCCGGTGTCCCCCAGCCTCCAGACCAGCAATCAGGCTCCTGGAGGCCTACTGACACTTATGGGCGGCTTGGCTCAAGCCCTGGGGAAGCCGCTCTGGGGGGGCGCGGGGGGCTGGGGGACCGGCACTCTGCAGTTTTACAAGCACTTCAGGGGAGTATGAGGCCAACGGCTTTGAAAACCACTTCCCCCCGGAGGAGGCTGGGTGGCTTCACCGGTCCAAGGGACCCCGAGAATGCACAGGACATTTTGTGTGAGTGCTTTTCTCTGGGGAGAAGGTCCGCGGCCTCGGGAGGATTCTCCGAGAGGCCGTGTCCCAAACGGGGCTGAGACCCCTGCTCCCATCAGCTCCGTGGAGCACAGATGGTCTGGGAGGAAGCCGTGCTCACTCTCCCCCGCCCCTCATCACGCCCGCAGACCAGGAGCGCCCACTCCTCTTCCTCACCCCCCCCCC